CAGCGGTTGCTTGCCGAGGCGGTGGAAATTGCCAAATCGGAAGACTGCGTGAATAGAATGGAGGGGGTAGAAATCCCTAATGCGTGGCGGGCGGTCTTAAGCCGACCAGCTCGACGAGCATCGATGCGTGGATCAGATTGAAACGTGCAAACCGACTCCCATTGTCAACACTATGGGCTTATCCGTCAATGTCATGACGCACAAAGGAACACCTGGACTATTCCCACTCTGATTGAACCACCTGAGGTGACATCCCGAACTGTTCCTGTAATGAATCATGGCTCAAAATTTGGGTAACGCGGTTATCGCCCCTGTTCGCTATAAAATCCCACACCAATTGCACACTGATTCACCTGGTCTGACGAAGCCTTTATGTTAAAGGCGAAACGTTACCAAACTATTATACCAAACCGATTGTTTCCAAACCTCTCTGAACTCATGACTACTCGATCGGTTCCAAGTATCTTTCAAGAATTTGAAACTGGGAGCAACTTGCAACTTGCCGCAGTTGGTTACGAAGAATGGAACCAATCGAACAAAGAGCGAAGCATGGTGGGGCGACGTAGATCTCTGGCAGAAAGCCACATTGTTTGACTGGTAGCATTAGTATCGTCGGAACCCATGGTCACTCTCCGAATACTCCACCTGCGGTTGAAAGCTGCTTTGATGCTTGAGGTGAGCGTAAGCATCATAGCGCGACACTTGGACGGGAGGCTGATAACAATGAAGAAATTGCAGGCAGTTCCGGAATCCGCAAAGATATAAAAAAATAACGACGAAAACCTTATGTTTACAGAACAGTAGTAGGGGGATTTCAGGGAGGAATTCAATAACCACCAGACTTACTCAGACAGCCACCTCACGCCCAGAAAAGCTCTGTATGGTAGTTTCATCCGCTCGGGAATCGCACCTCAGCGGTCTTAATTACGGACTGTTAACAGTCAAGTTGCGGGTTCGAGCACTACAAGGGTCAGATGGAATGTGCACTGCTGACGAATCCCGACAGTTCTATGTCTAGGCACTGCTGTAGTCGGAGGTCGAAGGGAAACGAGCGGTGCAGATTGATGAAATAAAATGCGATCTCTTTTTGCGCTCGCACCAGAGACCGTTCACTGCATGCAAGTCCTGCGCTGTGTCAAGTTCCCAACACTCAGGGACGGAAAGTTCATCTTATTGGAGCCCTGAGGACTGATAGCTTGATAGAGTATACTATCGTGAAAGGAAGTTACAACAATGAAAGGCGTGCGCAGTGGTTGCGTGGACTGCTGGATGCCAGGGGTTCGACTTTGTCGAGAATTGCCTCCTGATCTGCGATAACGCGTCTTTGCACACGAATCTGGAACGCGTATGCAAGGAGCAGTCGTAGCGTTCGGGCAGCCTGCGCCTTCCTCCATATTCTCTATCACTCAACACAAGTTGGATCATCATAAAAGCATATTTGAAGCAAGCTATGTGGCAGAGATTCCGAGATGCTTCAGCGAGGTCCTAAGGATGTACTTTACGAGACCGAGCGGAGAATGTGTTTCATGGAGCGAATTGTGTCAGAGGCACGAGCCTGCGTGGCGTCTCAGCACCGCCAGCATATGATAGATCGTGTGAGGAGGAATTACGCTCGCGTAATGCATTGCACTGATTTGTAAATTGCTTCCATTGTGTTGTAGTTAATGTGAACTGGTGTTGTCAATGCTATGTATCGCAAAGCCATTTGTTTGACATGCAGGTATGATGAGGTTCAGGCTAAATGTTGTCGAAGAATTCCCCGCATGTTTCCGTTAAGGGTTGCGAGACAACCAGAGGGTATCCGGATGATTCCTGGTAATCAGGACTACATTGCTGCTAATGATGAGAGGTCATGTGTTGTAACGTACTGTAGTGTCGCGAGATGATGGTACGTAGTTGGTATCACGAAGAGGAATACCGTGCGCAAAAAAAGGAAGAGTCATTCTGTTGATCGTTAGGTTAAGCATTATTGCGGAAATCTCGAAGTTGCATGGTATCGTAGGTTACCTATCGCCGCGGGAGGACAGACACTGATGTACGGTAAGACACTATGCCGGATGTAAGTCTGTGATCCATCTCAGAAGACGAAATAGATGTTTATCGCTTATTGTCAAGCATTTCAAAGGGTTATGCGGGTGACTGCGTTCGCTTCAGTGCCTAAGTTGTGCCAATGTATGTGGTGCATCATGATTCGTCCGCCAATTGCTAGCGGTGCAGCGTTCAGAGAATACGAACCACTCAAGCGACCAAAGTAGAAGCCATCGCGATAGTCTACGTATTAACCACCCCCTCCAATGCAAGCACCTAATGGCAAGTGTAGTGCTTCACCTTTACCGTGGGCTAGAAGGTATGGGGTAGTACATTGGGCTTACGGTGCACAGATCCTTCGCTACATATGTTGTGACACCCAGTACGCCTTCACCCCACGACCGCAAGAAGAAGTCCAAGATGAGCCGGGATGAACAGATTTTCTATTACAGCACGGCACCAGTTATATAGCTTTACAAACAAGGGCGAAGCCAAGCTACTAAACGCATGAGGTCCAACAGGCATGGAGAAAACACAAAATGGAACAAGCAAATGAGAATCTCCAAAATTACGAGCCAATGAAGTGCGGCAAAGAAAATAGTGTCTGCGGAGTAAATCCCTGGGGGTAACCTTCTGGTGAGCGACCATTAAAAACGACGAGTAGCGTCCAATCAGTGTGGAGAAGTGATGCGTTTAAACAAATGCCAGAACAGTTGATAGTGAGAATGATACAAACCAGGAAAATAAAAACAGGTATAATAAATATGTGTCGGCTGAATAATACATTCACGTGAAAAAGCTAAGGAACGCTAAGCAAAAGAAACCAATCAGAATGTCCACAGAATGAGACGGCTGAAATTAGCTGTGAGCGATTGTGAATGAAGATGAGGAAAGCGGCGTGACCAAAATGTAGCACAGAAGCAGATAACTGCGCAAACAAAGAAATAGGCAACCAACCTAATTCATGAAACTGAGGGTTAAGTAGCCAGCTCCCTAACAACATACACAGCTAAAATTAACAATATGGCAGTTGTATCATGGTAGTGGGTCTCTCAGCAGAGTGCCACTCATGTTGAGTTTCTCATACGCAAGTGAATAATTGTCAACCCAGAGTTCAGTGGCAAGTTGCGCAGGCCCTTTAGGTCGTTTTATTCACAAACGTCAAAAAATTTTATCACCCCAGACGCTGATCATTCGAAGTCATACACCGGTGATCGTCTTGATATCGGGACACACCGAACCTGCCGAGTGCTGGTAGGTCGTCCTAACAGTGTCATACAATGACCTTGGTCTCCTGATGTTCTTATTTGGGATTATAAAGGGAATTTCATGTATAAAATTATGCTCTCGAATTCCCCGCTTCGTGTCGAAGATGTAAATGATGGAGAGCGATTAGTTGCAACTAACCGGACGTCTACCAGTTACCATGTAAATAATATATCTGCTAAATCACCATGTCACACTCCATTTTATTGGTACGTTCATTAATTAATATTTCTCTACATTACGGCCATCCTACGGGACATGTCAAGCGTTATCTACTTGACCCGTTATATACATTTGTACTGCCATTAGGTAGAAAATTGAGTGTTATCGACCTCGGGAAATTGAGGGCTTTGCAAGTACAACTACCGTAAGAAGAAACTGAGGTGTTGCTCGCCTATATGCTGTGTCGGCCAAGTACCTTTGCTGGATAAGTGGCGGTGAAATGGACAGACAAAGATGCCGAGCAACGATGGAGTGACCCATGTGTGAACATACCACTAAACTGCGTACGGGATACGAATTGAGTTGATGCGCATCGACTTGCGTGTCAGTTGCCCTTACGTTCGGTCCGCACCAGTTCGCCCATGCACGTGCATACAGATTAGTCGATGCAAAATTCCGACAGCCCGGTCACAGTATTTCATTTGATTCAGGGACAATCAAGTCGATGTACTGCATCCACCATGAGGGAAAGCGACGCCTGCTGTAACAAAGCAGGGTCTACTCGCCTTGTAACTTAATGGCCACAGTTGTGTTTCGGCACTAGCCCTCTCAGCAAACCGCCGCTCAAGAAGACTCTCTATAACCCAAGGCGGCCACCTCCCAACCTGGGGACGATAAGAGAGGGAATGCCTAAGAAGGGTAATAATAAGACAGGAAGGCATGGGTAGTAGAATCCAACCGCCTATGTACTTCGCTCAATGCAGCTGATAGAGCGCAATTGATTATCCTCTGACAACCAGAGCATCAGGTAATTGTTTGCAGAGGAGTTTGACGAGCGATTATTGTTGCAGCATGACGCTGATGGTCATTCGAAAACGTCTATCGGTGTTAAATCAGTAGATCGTGTGCATAAGGTGAATACCTACTGTGGTTCAGGTTGGTCGCGCTATTCAGACCTGCACATAGCCTTATTCAGCACTAGAATAATATCTGCGGCATGCGTGTGCCACGACAGGCAATTCCGATCTAATACTTTGTTAGGGTTGGAGGAAATTCCGATCGCTCCAATCACTGGGAACGCATTCGAAGTGCAGATGTCGGTGTCGCTTGTCTGCAGTAATGAACCAACGATCTGTCTCATCTTCGTTTAAATTCTCCAGGAACTATAGTATCATGGGTTGCCGACGTATCGTTATGCAAACGCAAAGTGGGATTTAACGCCTAAAAGCATCTTCCCAACCACTGCCATAAGCACTGCCCGTGGAGCATGGTGACCTGGCTTTGAAAATGTCTGCAGGTAAGGGAAACACTCCGGTGTTTGCAAACAAGTTTTGGCTATCTCTACCCAAAGAGTCCAAGTAAGGACCAAACCGATTGCGGAGATTAAAGCTAGAAAAAATCAACACCAGAAACTTCACATTCTGGAAGCGAGTGACAGAAATTTTAAATGATCCGCTTCTGTGCAACCGTACGTGTGTGTTGCTGTAAGTATTGTAGTGATCAGGCTGAAGGCCACGAAAGGTGACATTAGATGGTTTACTTACCAATCCCTTCTGTAAAGTGGCAGCTGCGCGGCGCATCGCCACCAAACGAAGAGTAGCAATCCTGCTGACAGGCCATTGGTGATCGGCTTGTCTGCGGAAATTATCATCAGAGTCTTCTGAGGTTGCCCGAAGATCCGAACCGGCTGCACTAACCGCCTCTTGTTCAGCACCCGAGGGCACTTCTGAAGCATCGATTAAGCCTCGGACCAAATAGTTTGTATAGGCGTTCACATAACGAACATTAAGTTTCGCCTCACCAGCGAGCGCTTCAAAGGTGGTGTGCATGGTAGCGTTAAAATACGATCGGAGAGGAGGACGAATCTCACCAGCAGCATATCGCCACCATTTCTGTGTGCTATTTTGGAAAGGATAGAAAATATACAACTATTCAATTAGTGGATTTCGGCCGCAGTCGTTCGCTTAAGGTGCGTGAAACAAGGTGATTGGAACAAACAACAAACACTGAAACTGAACGGACTCTACTGATCAACGATGCCGAACATGTAAACTAGCAAGGGAAATATTTCACCTTGTCGTGGGGCGAAAAGTTTGCGTGCAGAGGCTACAAAGTCACCGAGTAATCTAAACAGTGAAGAATCTCAAGGGTATCTGTTGAAACCAACGAGTTAATGGCTTTCTATCGCCCTTCAAGAATCCATTAATGATGATGGCATCAGCTTCACAAGGTGTTCTCAACCCTGTGCGAAAACGGGGACAGAACTAGCCTCATAGTAAAGGCATTTGAGTGCAATTAGATGTAAAAAAATTCCATATTGTGAACTCCTTCGTGTATAAGAAACAAAGATAGGATCATTAACTCACATTCAGACATCCAAACAAGCGACAAATAAACTACCTACCATACAGATGAACACACAATGGATTTAAATTTGGTGGGTATTTGAGAAGTAACGAACAAGTTAACGAGAGTAGTGCCAAATACTGTCCACATTGGACATGCCGATCGAAACCAAAACGCTTGAAAAGGCAATGCAGTCAAAATCGTGACCTTACGACAATGCATGACAATTTCGCGTCCGATGGTAGACAGTACTGTAGGTGTACAAGGTTAGAAAAACAATGAGTTACGAAGAATCGGAATAAACACCTGAAGACGCCTGCAATCGACGAATATATTACCAGCTGGGTGAGGCACGTAAGACATAACGGTAAAAAAACACTCTGGGCGAATGAGGGATGATTTAAATTTGCACCAGTACAAACGGAAAGGATGGTAAAAGGCAAACTCTTGCAAGCCATATTGCCAATGTGGACTTAAGCAGTAGTACGACACCACAGAGTTAAACACAATGGCTGTGACCACAAATTAGTAGCATACCCAAAAGGGGAACTGCTTGTGAACATGCAACAACGGGTGGTGCTGAGCAAGAAACCCAAACGCTAGGTATGGGGCGTCCACGCAAACGAACGGAGATCGCGGATTCGTACCCATAAATGAAAACCTCTCATAACCTTACGTTCGCAAAGAAACGAAGTGGCGAAAGGTCTCTCTCGACCCGGTTGGCGACAACGATGGGCGAATGGACGCATTGCCGAAGAAACTGCTTGCTGAATAGCGTCATTTTCAGTATATATTGACGAAAGCTAAAATATTCACCGAAACAATGAGTAGATGAGCTGCTCGTCTGAAGCGATGGTCATCCGCTATCTTTGTTAAAGGTATGCGGTCTCAGAAGTGGTGTGGGTGACAGAAAGAGAAATCGGTGGGATATGTAGTGGAAGTGACGAGTTGGTGAATCGTGTGCATGTGTTAGAATATCTAATATTTCTGGGATAAAATGTTGTATCATCACCTTGTGAAGCTGTGGTGAGCTGGTCAATGGGCCGATAATCACTTCGACGAGACGGTTGCAGACCGATGGGAAGGGAAAAGTGTAATGTGACCCCCAAATATTCCCACTTAAAGCAACAAGTAAGACTGAAATTTGGAAACGCAATTTCCACGATCATCACTAAAGAGCCCAAAATTGGAGGAAAGTGGTGCTCTTCCCAAGAACAGGATATTTCTCCACAGTGTGAGACATAGAGCGACTATGTGGCCTGATTATGCTGTATAACATAATCGAATGGTGGAGAAAATTATTCGAGGTTCTCAAACTAGTTCCGAAAAGAGTTTATGGGGGTGTTCTATCAGTTACAAGTAACAAAAAGATGGAGGATTTATGAGTAGGAATAAATGTACGTATAGCCAGCAGTTCAGGTAAAGTAACACGATCATCTGTGGAACTGTGATTATTCCGACGTGACCAATCAAGTGACACAGCAAGGCAACAGTTATTCCCGCTGCTTCAAGCAATATGTGAGGCTTTTATTCGCCGCAATCGTCAGTTAGTGGCTCACAACTGCAGGAAAGAAAGCGGTGCTTTTGTGAAGGGTTGGACAGTTTTCGCACTGTTGGAAATGGTTGTTGGTACAAGCAATGAAGTCAATGAGTGAGTGGTGATTGATATGCAGGTCGAAAGTGAAACTAGTTTGCTTACGTGGGCTAATGACAAGTTTTCGGATTTGGATATGGACCCTATTGCGTGAGTTGAGAGGACTATCATCAGCGTATCAAACATGAAAAGTATCATGACTGAAGCCAGTGGAACACAACTGCTGAGTAGTAGGTTCACCGATGACCGATGGACCACGGGATGTACTCTGGAGCTTCAGCAAATGCAATACGGAAAAAGAACAATGGCGGTGAAGGGACCTAAGGTAAAGCGAGCAGTGAGCAAAACAATGAAGGTACGGGCACAACAGAGAACCGCCAGCTATGCACGGTGGACGTACTTGCGGTAGACGGGAACATTCGGACGACGGCTAAACTGTTCTTTTAGGTTTTGTTCGTGAGCCATTAACTCGGCCAGGTGAACAGTGGCTATGCAAAGATCGCGGGAGAGCTGTAGCTGTAAGTCACCGAAGCATGCATCGAATTCGATTTGGACGCTGTGCTGCCGTGTCCTCTCATCCACAATAGAAATATCGGAGTTTGTTGGATGTCGGTTACGTCTGAGTTGCCCTGTCAGTGAACTAGGAGGAAGCACGTAGAGAGCAGGTGCTGCGAAACCGGACGACTTGCCCTGCATATGTGGGTGAGAAACACCGTGAAGCCGAAGCACAATGCGAATCACAGTGACAATCCAGAAAATGACAATGCTTTTGTGTGTTAACAGTTAATAATAGTGCGATTGAAGGCAATATAATATGGCCAAAAACAGTACCAAAAACTAGGTACTAATCGCGATGAAATCAAGAGAGAGGAGAGGATAAACAGTAAATCACATACCATTGAGTAGTATGGTTGAAATATTTCACAGGAGCACATAGTCAGATCAAACGGAACAAGGAAGTGTGATCTGCATTCAACCAAAAATATTAACCTACGCGCAATCTCAAGGTCGCTGATTCTATTCCCTCAACGAGCAAATGGAATGTGCACTGCCGACAAGGTAAGAAGGTATAAAAACGGCCACTGACAGCTTTGCCGGATGTGGAATGGCTTTGTGACTGACTGAGAGCGTGGTGAACATTCGACGGAGATTCGATCTAAACCCTACCTCAAATCACTCTCCAAAAATCATCATTGTGGATGCCAGCAAGTAGGCGATGTTGATTTAGCAGGGGAAGTAGCGGCTCAGGTAATGAACCCTGTCCTCTCCAAATTATTAACGCACATGGCGGTGGAAGATGGGTGTATGCACTTCATCACAGCAGCAGTTCATCCAACTGTGACCCAGTGGTCCTGACAACAGATGAGTAAACACAGGATCGGAGGTTCTAGATCCACAGCCGGCAGCGGAACTATGCACCAGTGAGGAAGGATGAAATGGCCACTCAGAGTGGTTGTGAGAAATCTATACGGAAAATTTTAACAGGGCCTGAAAATGCAGCGCGGTTAGCTGTATGGGAAACTCCTGCCACTGTCACAGAAGATGTGACCAGGACGCATGCACAAGAGCCAGTGGCGGTAATGCGTCAGCAGCATGGAAACCGAAGACATCAATTCAGATGACGCGGCAACCGAAAAAACAGTAAATTTAAAAGTGAACATAAGACATTGGTGAGGACATACAAAAGTGCTAAATGGAACTGTATTCCTTGTTTGAAAAAATGTGTAGCCCCTGTACATGACTATCGAAAACCTAGAACGATACTGAACGGTCGTCCTATCCTTGCAGGACTCAGCTATAAATCTGCAAAACGGTGACCGCAACACAGTGGATGTCGATGGCTTGAGTGGTCGAGTAAAGTACTGCTGTGAGGAGAACATGCATGACTATGCGAGACTGTCGACGCGGGTCGGCAGGCCAGTAATATGACCGTGATTGCACCCGAAGAGAGTGACCCTTATGGTACTCGACCAGATGTCTAGTGAGTATGCATACAGAACGATATTATTAAGAACTTATTGGATTGTGATAAATACAGTGGAGAATGAGGACCAACTTGGCTAGCGAGTAAGCGAATGCCTGATTCGGTTGCTTAGAATTATCCTAGAGCTCACGCAGTAGATGTGACAAAATTGAGAAAAAAATCAAAGAAAATGAAGTAAGAGAGCATGCTTGAAAAGTTAGGGTCGCGGTGCCAGTTTGGGTAGCAAGACAAGAGAAGCTAGAGAACGGAGCAAATGTCACATTATCTCAGCCTTCAAGGGTCAAAATAACCACTTGCGTATATAGGATAGTAGACAATACATGATATAATGTGGACGAAGAGATGAAGTAAGGTCCGAAGCTGAGACAGAAAGTCAAATGTTATGTCCTTCAAGGACGACACGCAAACACAGGTGTAGGTACTGAATAAGTAGCCCTAGACGGTAGGCGAACACTAGCAACATTGGCGGGATTACTTAGTCCCCTGTGTCCCAAATGTTCGATGCATGATACCCTAGCACAGCTGAACAAAGTGTGGAGAAGTAGCATGAATGTCTCATAGCCTGTAGCCTAAAGACAACAAGCCCGTCTTGTAATCTGACGGCACGGGTTCGATGCTGCGTGAGGGCAGGGTGACCCTCGCAATATCTTCAGCCCACGTGAGACCAGTGGTGGTTACGCGGCAGCAAAGCGTCGGGTACTGCTGATCCCTGTAAGAAGAAGAGAAAGAGTGGACCGGACTCATGACAATAAACCTAAGGTGACCCTAGAATGGAAGTGCAACGGACCGATTTGCCTTGACCGATTTAATTACGAAAATAAGATTATGATATTATCGGATGAAAGTTTGGCGATGAGAAAAAAAAGGAGAAAAGCCTCTATTGACTCAGCGAATATGTACCATTGAATAAGGTCCATTAATATCGAGATAGAGACTGTCTTTAAGAGCAAGTAGAAAGGTTTCTGTACAACTCTATCGAGTTACGAAAAATCAAAAACGTTCAGTTGTGAATCACCAGCAGTTGTGTCTGGTCCGTTAATCGTTCATCCTTGTTCGGTTAGGAATTTGTACTAGTGTTATTATTTCCGGGCATACAATGTCTTCTTTTGGCATTGTATGTGCATCGTTTCACAAAACCAGTTTTCCGAAATAATCGTCGATACGCGTTTTAAAACCCTTCACAGAATCGGCCTCTATTAATCCTTCTGGTAGTGTATTCCATAAGTTTACGATTATTCGTTCGATACAAAGCTGATGTGATACTTCGTTTATGTTAAGGACCCTGATTTTGTAACGGTGTCCTCGGGTGTTACAAAGTTCCCGCAGTATGGGGAAGTGATTTAAGTGTAATACTCAATGGGTCATAATAAGGCCAATTCTTACTCGGCGATAGGATAGTGTGTAGAGTCCGAGCCTTTCACAACGTTTTTCATACGGAAGCTTTTGTAGACTCGGTATCATTCTAGTTGCGATATGCTGTATTTTCTCCAGTTTTTCAGATAGTCGACCCCCAGACCATATCCGAAAAGACGGCAACAACAGCTGATCAAGTTTCTTGCTCAGTCACAGTACGCAGTGTTGCCAGGATAGAATTTCCCTCAAGGAGCAGCAACTACTAATAGTAATAGTAATAATAATGATACATGCTAGCTAGAGGTAGGAAACACATCAGCTATTCAGATTTTGTTCTGTTCTATCGTTACGTCATTGTTAAGCAATACAAGAGAAAGGGAAAATGACGCAACAGCGGCACGCCAGCTGAGGCACCAGTAACGGATGGACATCGTTCCGGAGAGCTAGCACTCGGCTATTGTACCGTAAAAAATGTGTCAAAAATGAGGTCTTGGTGGAAGGAGGGGGTTAAGCGGCAGGAGAAACAAAGGAACACACAAGGCAAACGGTACAGAGGTCGGCTCCTAACTATGTCAACAAGTGTATCCAGCTAAATACGTTCATCGTCTTCCGGATACCAACCAGGGAACCGTGAGGCTCCAACCTAGGCCAAACACGAACTCTTTTTGATCAAGTAGTCCGCTGGCATCCCATCCTCATCTTCCGTACACACCCGGTGGAGCAAACAACTCACATGGCGGAAATCAGTTGGCCGGCTTTCGCAACACGTGGCCCAGCCATCGGAGCCAGGTGCGTGATATAACGGTCCCAAGCGGTTCACTCGCCTTTCCTGTACCATATACACGACGCCGAACACCCACATTGCTCACGCAGTGATCCCACCAGCTATCAGCCAAAGTGCGAAGGCACCGGTATTCGAACCTAACTGTCAGCTGATCTAATGGGCCAGGTTTCACCATCGTACAATAGGGTCCAACCAACTGCTACATTGTACCCTACCCTTCATGGAGAAAGTGATATCGCGCCGGCGACATAGGTGCAAACTTTGGCAAAAGCGCCTTGAGATTTTGCTATAAGGTTCGTGACTTCGTCTTGGATTTCACAGGTGCTGATAAACCTGCCCAGGTAGTTGAATATCTAGACGACTTCCAGCTGATCCCCATCAAGGGTCAGCGCTGTTGGCCGTCACAACCAATCCTGGAGGAAAGCTTTGCACTTTGACGGCGTAAAATAAAGCCCGAAACTGGTGACAATCAGTGCTAATCTGCCCAGCGCTGCTTAGCACGTTTGTGAACTGTCACACATGAGTACAACGCGCTCAGCTGAGAGCAACTCCACAAGTTATAAGTGATGTCAAGTGAAACACGATTTCTATGACTTCGTCAACACCGAAGTTGAAGCAGAATGGTGACAGTGTGCAGCCCTTTCTTACATCGCTGGAGACAATGAGAGGCGGAGACAGGTTGCCGTAAGCCCTCACTCTGCCCAAGCTAAGCGCATGAAGCGCTCTGATAATAGTTACATATTTCTCGGGCGCACTTCTCCTCAGCAGACAGACACATCGATTCATCGAATCGAAGGCATTACTGACGTCGAGAAACACGAGCACAGTGGGCTTCCAACACATGTAACGGTGCTCCAACGACCGACGTAAAGTGAAGATGTGATAGACGCAGCCCCGAACTCGACGAAACCACGCTTGCTCCTCACGAATCTGACTTTCACGAGTGCAAGTCAACCTCTGAAGAATGACAGAGGCAAGTAACTTGCTCTATGGTTACCTCATTCCGAAAGTGAACCTCCCTTGAAGATCGCGACAATGACAGAGCGGCTCCAGCCGGTTGTAAGAGTGTCCTACTACCACAGCTTCACTAAAAGCTCCTGTAAGTCATCCGTAAGTGTATGTCCCTCGAATTCAAAGAGGGCTGGAGAAGGACCCTCTGGACCCGTGGCCTTATCTAACTTCAGCAGTCCAATCTCACCTGCAACTTCTGAGCGAGAGGGCGGATCCAAAGGCAACGCTCAGGAAACAGGGCGATTATTGACCGGCGATAAATCCAGCAGTTCCTGCCGAGCGCATTGCCTTACAAAGTGCTCACACCAACTCACCAAGCGTGTTGACAAGTTGTGGACAAGCTGCCCACTCTCGTCACAAAGAGTTCCACAAACACAAGTCTCCTGACAGAATAACTTCCGGTGGTTACCAACGACAGCGGCTACTCCCATCACCGACGTACGATAAGTGCTCACACCCGGAAATCCATGGTGTTATTCGAGTCGACGCTTCAAATATCTGCCTTGCATAATTCTCTTTCAGGACGGTTACTGCACCATTTTGTAATTTTGCAGTAATACCAATTCTTCCCGGTCATCGAAGTACACGACGTGACAAACAGGATGGAACGCAAAGCGATGGGACTAGAGTGCTCGTACCATACAAGACAAGCGTGCTACAAGCATGTGCAATGACCCTTCTCTGTCTCGAAGAGGAGAGAGGGCCAAACGGGAATTCGAGAATGTATGAGAATATTTTCATAGTATGACAAGGTGTAAAAGGGTGCGTGCAGAATGTGCTTCAGAAGATCGGATAACAGACTGTTGACTGATAGATACGATGAGCAGCATCGCGGAGTTTGCTGGGGTCGAAGAAAGTAAAATGCAGATATGAGTAAAAAAAGGTTATCTTGCACTGAAAGCTAAAGCAGAAGGAAAACCACTACATTGTCGAGACAACTTCCGGAAACAGGTTTTACAATGCAACTTGCCTGAGTAAGTTCGGTTGCCAAAGTTGGCGACAGCATTTCGCTCCATGAGACACATAGACTGTCCATCATGATCAGCTTCGACTCCAAATCAGCCTGTGGAGGAAAACACACAATCGCGAAATTCGTCTCAACAGCATTCAACGCACAATGAGTGCAAGGATGAAGATATGGAGTTTCCAATGGCTAAGTTAGCACAAAAAGCACGTCGGTTTGAGCAGTAAAAGCAGACGAACTGTGAAGCACAAAATCTTTCCCTACTGCGGTGACGAAGTCTGTTAGTTACAGATTACAAGGAAGTAGCAGGGAATGTGGTGAAAACTCGATGAAACATGGAGAACTATCAGCATGAGGTTAAGCAAAAGGAACAGTGCAGATGCATGACACTTACCTTAGACTCGTCCGGAGTTCTGATGACCAGATGTTGTAAGGAGAGCGTAAATGTACCGAAGGAAGAAGTCAGTGGATCTATATCTGGACCGCCAACAGCAAGCGAACGGTCCACAATGCGCAGATTGACATTGTGGATTTCGACTTGAATGCTTCGGACAATACCATACCCGAACGATGCGACATACGACCACCAAGAAGAATCAGTATTGGAGTTCATGGCGACCACAGCGGCTAGGGCGGTCGTATCATTAACGCCGTAATTTTGGATGGTCTACAGACAAAAAGAAACACCGAAAATTCCACAGATAAATGTCGAAAGATTTTGTGGCACTAATTTACTTCATCGTTTATGATCCTTTATGTAGGTGCAACCGGTAGTCTAGTCAACATTAACGTTTTCAACATAGACGACGATTTTACTTAGTAATCAGAGAAAACTATGAAACTCAGTTATGGTAAAACACGGTTGGCGGCATGCGATTTCGGATTTGCCTGTCACTGTGGACAGCTACTGGGCGCCTGCGCCTACAGAGGGACCATGGGTGGCTTGCGTTGCACCACCCACAGCTGCAATCACACACACACCATATCCAGTGTAATCCCGAAGGTATAAGACCGGGAGACATGTGGATGGGGGTTCCGTTTCATCAACGGAGCCGGCCCACAATCCTTCACACGCAAACACAAGCACTCTTCGAGCCTAGCAAGGCCACAAGGACTGTGCACCCCGTCCCCTCCAGCAATGACCAGCTGCCACTTGGAGCCAGTATGAACGAGGTAGTGGGTAATAGCCAGGTAGGCACATTGTCAACATGCACATCAAGCGTAGTCACACCGTGGATATCAACCAACAGTGTTACATAAATGCTCAAGTCACATTCGAGCTGAGCCAAACTAACTTCAATGGCTCCAAATGCACGAATCCTTCGTTTAAAAGTTGAAAAACATTGGTTGCAAAGCTCGCATACCTCCGCAAAACTTGCGCGGATTTCGTCCGGCACACCTCCGACATGGTTGGCGGCGTCCGGTTTCGAATTTGCCTGTCACTGTGGACAGCTACAGAACGCCTGCGCCCACAGAGGGACCATCGGTGGCTTGCGCTGCACCACCCACAGCTCCATCCACACACCCCATATCCAGTGTAAACCCGAAGGAATAAGACCGGGAGGCATGTGGGTGTGAGCCACGTTCCATCAACGGAGCCGGCCCACACTCCTTCACAGGCAAACACAAGCACGCTGTATTTGGGGAATCAGCCGCACACAAGGCGGTGGCTGGACCGTAGTCCGCTCCACACCGAGTGCATGGAACCGCTCTACGAACCTAGCACGACCACAAGACCGTGCACCCCGTCCCCTCCAGCAACGACCAACGGTCTCCTGGAGCCAGTATGGGCGAGGTAGTGAGTAATAGACAGGTACGCACCTTGTCAACATGCACATCGAGCGCAGCCACACCGGGGATATCAAGCAACAGCCATTCACTTGAAACGACAAGATGAAATAAAATAAATCGAATAATGCATACAGATACGGTGGCATAACTCTTCGCTAAATTACCATATGAAGTAAGGTGGTTAGCAACGAATCCGCGATAAGGTAAAAATGTCCACAAGTTGCTTAAAAATGCTACAAACGCAACAGTTACCGAAGGTAAGCACAATTAGCGTAAGCAACGTGGCCAGTTAATAGAAGATTATTCAGGTAGGCGGAACACACCAAATAAAGTGGAATGAAATTTATCCAGCTTAAAAAGACCTAGTTTAAGTGTCAGTTGGTTTAGCCCAACTGCAGTGAAGAAGCCTCATGAAAGCAACATGAGGCTCAGAATGGGGCATATATATATATATATATATATATATATATATATATATATATATATATATATATATATATATATATATATATATTGATGGCACATGAAAGCGAAAACTCGTAAGGGGTTGTGTTAAAAAAAGAAAACAGAGCCCTGACGCGGATTAAATTGACAGGAAAAGTGTAAAAACTAAAAAAGATCGAACCTGCCACCATTTTTGCTCCATTTGAGCCAAGTAGCCTTTGTGATCAAAGGAATTGCTAGAACTACCGTTGTCGTTTCCGCTGAACTTGTTGTCAGAAGTCCCATTCAGCTGATCCGCGTCACCTATCCGATGTTCGGGGACCCGGCGGCTCAATTCAGCAGCGGAGAGATGGGCCACTAAATCAACGTTCTCCACCACTAATTGCCAGGGTTGACTCCATAGATGGGTGTATGGTATGTGAACAGATATCTTTCCCACAGTGCCTAGCAGAAAGATGGGCACATGACTTAGTTAACAAAGTAGTGACGAGAAAACAAAGGCCAAGTTATATGCCATTTCTAAGGAGGGATCCAGTTCATACTGGTTTTTCACCTTTCAGTTGTGACACTTAGCTCCGATTGTAGTAGGATGAGAAAACCTAACAAACTATGCGAAAGAGACAATGAACGGAGCAATGGGAGCTAGCGCATTCAAAGCTTCAAGTGACTGTCGAATAATGCCTGTGATCGATAGCGAGGTAAGCTGGGGGGAAAAAGAGGACAAATCAATGAAATTCGGGTGTGCAGAGTAAAGAATCCGGGGAGGCTCAGTGGCATTAAATAGGAGACGACGACGTGGAAGATAGAGCATAGTGCTGGAGTACAGTGGGAGAAAAGTCTCGAGGCATGCGGTGACGGTTAGATGATAATCTTGATGAAGCCTGAAGTTGGTGTTAGCTTAGTTGCACAAACATCTCAAATGCTTCGATAAAGACACACCGGTTATAAAGTTGGCAGAAGCGCAATGCGCGGAGCTGCATGACAGACTACACGTGGAATACATCAGAAAAGATAGTAAAGCAAAGCAAAGCCTAAGCAGAAAAATTACCACCTTCCTGGAAGACAACACGCACGTGGGAAAGGCTTTGTGAACAATGAAACGCTGTAGAAGGCCGCAAGCATATGAAAGATCGGATCAGGTATTTGGGACTAAAAGTAAAACCCGAATCCAGACACATTGAACATCCGCTGTGAACCCGCGTCGGTTGCGAGAGTTAGCAGCAGTCGGAATCGTTATCGGAGTGTGAAGTATCAAGGAAGCGCAGTCGGTACCTAGAGGTCCAAACTCAACGTATGGCGCAAGGATCTGAGTGACCGCACATGTCCCGAGAACAAATGGAAAAGATGCGCGATTCACATTACCGATCTTCAATTTATGTAACTTGTTGAAAAACTTACGGCCTTCGCGATGTAAGAACAATAATAAGAATAGTAATAATAATAATAAAGGTAGGAGAAGTGAACAAGCAGTAAAATAAGACAGGATCGTTATTGGCCGGAAATAAGGAAGCGAATGCAAGAGCGCAGCAAACTTCACAACTGCGTCATATTTGATGAAGTATCTAGCAACTGATGCGGTCAATTCTGAGAGCCTCATTCTCGGAAACGAGAAGCACCAAACCAATTCAGCCTTTTAATGAATTCCTGAATAATATTTTACCGTCAATGATGGGACACAGCCTGTGGATTTTACCCAATTAGGCACAGTATTGGCAAACAATACGAGCTGATGCTGCTAGACTACAAGAATATGGGGCAGATAAGCAAGTGACTGGGAATGGTCCGAAGTTAACGGACACTCCAGTGGAGCCCCAGAAGATTTGTTACCGAACATCAGCAGAAATGCAGTGTTCACATTCGGTTTACCCACTAGACGTGAAAACAACACTGTGCATGAACTGTTGATTGAACACAGTCAGTAACATAGTACCCTCATTGCGTACGGCGCAGGTCTCTGGTTCATACAGCAACATTGGTCACTCCACAGCAATTCAAGCTACTTTCTTAATCAATAACATCACAGTTCCCATTAGGCACGGACTCCTTGGAAGGCTATACGATGAGAGCAGCACTATTGATGAGGCTAAATACATAAATAAACCGATTAATCACTTCCGGTGGCTGTTCGGTTATGATGAAAGGGTGCAGTGAGTCGGCTCAGTCTGGAAGGTGCAAATCTCTCGCTTCGGAGCACAGCGTTACGTGCCAGCCCAATCAGCAGCACTAGCATAGCAGCTAGATCAGATCGTGCATTTACTCTGAGACTGATAATCGATCTACACCGTTCTTCAATAACAATGGTGGAAGATCGTCAGCGTCAGGTGCCTTATTACGCTTCAGTAACATTAGGACATATGGGACCTCATCGATGATAGAAGTTGTCACATTAACGCCCCGGGTAGATTCAGGTGTGACGCAACCGATAATTCGGATACACCAGTAGTCCGAATTGCTTTTCAAGGCGCAAGTTCTAGTCAACATAGTGAACTTTTATCCAGTGACATGTTCCTAGTATCGTATTCATACGCAGCATTGCAGTGGTTATTCTGTGTGATTGATGTGATTGGCAGATTCAGATACTTTCTCCTGTAGCCACCCGAGCAAATTTTTGGGAGTATTAGAACAAGGGTAGGTAGTAAGGAGTTTCCACTTGATATCGATGAGTGAAACTGTTTAACCTAAGCCCAAACAGTTTGCATATTTGCCGTCACTCCAGAAAAGTTGCATGTTTGCGTGTAATTACTAGTTCATTCGGCAACCTGGCCGATAAACTTACAGTGAAGTTGTATATATCATGACAGCTTTCATTCAACTGACGGTCACACTATGAAGAGTGAAAGTGACAATCATGCATGTCACCCAGAGGAACTGAGCCGCTGATGGATGAAAAGTTCGGAAGCGACCACATCGATGCGCGACCAAAAGAAGTGAGTGACATGTGATGACTGAGGCACGCATCCCTTAGAGCAGTAAGTAGCAAACAGATGCAGCCAATGATAGGATGTATAGAACACAATGGGACAGTAAAAGCAAAGGATGGTCATGTATGAAGAAGCAAGCGTCGACGGCGACAGCGTGTATACTGACCAGACCAAAGCTAATGGGCAGGTTACGATGCGATTACAAGGTGGATTGCGAACTCGAGAATTTACCGGTTCTCATGTGCCTCAGGTTGCATTCTCAGAGTATACAGCTATACTGACTAGGACTCACTAGTAAGCGAGTGATTTGGTATGGTGTTGATCCAGACAAGGTAAATTTCGGCTACTAACCGCGTACCTTCCGGTTGTACATTTGTTTATGTACTTACAAATGGCTTGCAAGAACTGAACTATGAGTGGCGCAGGTTCACCCAGTGACAGTTATCTTGCTAATTGTGGACGAACTATGTCAACGGTCATTATGACAAGTTATATATATATATATATATATATATATATATATATATATATATATATATATATATATATATATATATATATATATATTGGAATGTGTAAAACTACGCATCATAATGGGAGGCGATGAATCATCTTCGCTAGAGCGCAACTCGGACAACAGCGCACGCGTTATGAGATGGTAACCATATCCATCAATAGGGAAATAGCACTCCACCCTTGAAGCATTCCGTGAAATAAATAAAAATAGACCCTTAAATAAGCGACATTACACCGCATCTGCGCAGCGCCTGGATCTGAATAAAAAGCTGCGTGGAAAGCATACGCAAAAGCAGGCGTTAAGTATCAACTTCGCTAGATATATCATAGAAAGAACTCAGAACACACGTGGAGATGTACTACATATATATCTAAAATGTATAGCTGAATCATACCTTGCTCCAGAACAAGGGGAAGATTTAGAAGCGTGTGTAATGAATCCTTCTTTAAGGTCAGTTCGTTTAAAGCCAGGTTCCCTGCGAGGTGTTCAAAGATTGGATTGTAAAAGTAGCGTACCATTCAATAGGCCTATTGAAAGTTTCTCGCTATTAACGTCCTCCACATACGATCCAATAACTCTTTCAAGCAAACTGCTGAGAACCCTTCGCAGCATGTTCTGAAAACTGAAAAAGCGCGATTAACTACTTCAGTCTAGTAAAGTGGAATGATTTCCACTGAATTTAAGTACATATGAGGAACGAGATGACAAAGCGACTGCATGATGAGGATATGGAAAGAAATCAAAGGAAGCACAAGAGCTAAATCGCAAATTTATGTATGGATACGCTTTCAAACATCATCTTCATCAATACACGTTAGCCGAGGGTGTGGAACACAGCTCAGATGATGTGCCACAATACAAAAATGGTAAGGCATTAAGCAATGCAGACTTAAAAGATATAAAAATTAACAGTGTGCTAATATCACATTTTTGATAGTTGTTGGAGGAGTAAACTAAGAGGAAGAGAAAGGACGGAAGAGACTCATAACACAAAACGCCACTGAGATCGACTTTTGGCCATGTCAGGTAGGGTATCCAAACAAACGTGTCCATCATCCTTCTAACCCAAGCCAGGTAGTCGGGAAACACCAATCGACATCTATTTCGAAGTGAAGGTCTTCACTCCTCTCGAACAAGTTATCGCTTGGCCTCCGCTTCTCTTTTTCCATCTACACCCCCGGCGCGCAAACGCACGTCGCAGGAGTCGCTGGGCTGACATGCACAACACGTGGCCCAGCCATCGGAGCCTAGTGCGTGATATAACGGTGCTGAGTGGTTCACTCGCTCTTCCTGTACCAAATACGCGACGCAGAACACGCTCATTGCTCACGCGGTGATCCCACCAGACATGAGCTAAGCTGCAAATGTACCGGTGATCGAGGCAGATGATAAGGCAGATTTCGTAACCTTTACAAAGTGCTTTTTACGACTAAGCAAAGGCGAATACAGACCAGGATACCGCTTTGATTGAAGAGAGAGAATGACTCATCACATTCAAAAAATACAATTGCAACCCCGTACTCGCTGCACACACCCTGAATCTATAGCGTTGGGTGCAGAAAATTCATCCCACGCCGTGTGGCCTGGCGACGTAGGCAGTGATGCGTAAATTTTGCGCTACAGTAACACGGATAAAAATGCTAGTCCTTTGGTATGGACAGAATGAGAACCGCCAAATGGGGAAAAGAAAACAGCGCTAACATGAAACCCGTTTGGTGGAGTCGCCATAGAGTTCACACTGAGGAATGAGTTAAGAAGTCTACCTTGATTGTGTATAGCAATGCTGTTTGCTACACCGTTTGCCACGTTACCTGGTCTCTCGATGTACACAGCCAAGATTGCGTAATGTATGTTACTATTTCTTCCATACTTTGTACTTTTATATTCTGATTTTGCCTAGTTCGCCATAACTTTCGGCCCAATATGAGAATCGAAACAAAGCTGAGAAGTGTTAAGAATTGTAAGGCGTGCTGGTTTAAGCTAGGCTGTCCTTCGTTGTTTTGCCTTTCATCAGCCAACGTAAATTGGCCAATCTGGGATGGGCCCTGTTTCAAATGGTCGTCTAATCCCCAAGTCTATAGCAGAAAAGATAATGACAGAGTTCACTGTGTAACTTGGTTCTGTCCGTCCGTTTATACATGCACGGATTGCATCGCGTGATGTGTGGACGTCTATCTCCTATATCATTCAACGCGGTTTTGTCAAAAAGACAACCGGACTATATTTTTCAAACATGTCTAACGCGGAATCTGAAACTAGCCAAACAAAAGTGGTAAAGAGTACATGATACACCGTGGATACGCATACTGGTCCCACAAACCCGATGTAATAGCAGGGCATCACTGGTGCTGATGCAAATTTCGAAAACGCAAAGGTACAGCATGAATGAAAACAACGAGAGGTTGTATGTTGGTTCTTCCAGGGGAACACAACCATGATGGAAACGTTTAGATTTTGAGAGTTCGGCGTGCTGTGCTTGTCATGAAGCGAAAGATGACGAACAACTTAGCGACACTGGCAGTAGTTCCTGAAAGTGCTGCTTACCAGCTTTCAGATGACGTATTGATGACTCTGCCCAACATGGTAATTATTGTTCACTGCTCCGTTACAGGAGACGTCAACACGAACTTGATGACAATGATCCAGATGCAATGCCAACATTTCGCACAGGACCAGATTTTACTATTCCAGAACGGCACGCATACGCGTACTTTGTGAAGTGAATAATGTACCATCTGGAAAGTGCTAATCTACTGAATAGATTGAGCAATGCTTCAGATTTGCTGGCTGACGGCATATTCAAAAAGTGTCCAAACTTACACTACCTGTTCTACATGATTCATTTTGAACATGGTTCAGGTAGTTGCCCCGCTGCAGTGTATTGCTTATCGTAATACAAGTCTGAAGAAATGTACAAACGTCTGATTGTTTCTGCCAAACAGTTAAAACTGGACAGTCTGTCATCACATAGCAGTACAGACATCTAAATGGCTACTAAACATGCATATTGAAAAGTGTCCTGATGCTCCAACATTGGGATGTTCTACTCATCTTTGCCGAAGTGTAAAACGCAAGGTTAGAGAAATTGATATGGGGACGGCCTAGGAAAGTAACGATGAATTTCGCGCTGGTTTGATGCCTTTATGTACCCATAAAAAATGTGGAAGAAATCCTTTATATTCTGTTTTTAAAAAATGCCACCAGAGGAAAAATGGAAGAGTTGCTGACGTACTTCGAGGACGTTGGTTGCCAGGGATAGGGTACAACTACCGACAAGCGATCTTACTACCAGCGACAGAAATAAACGATGCATGTTAATGGAATCCAGCAGCCGAACTCCGGAACCCAATGGAGCTCTGTAGACAACCCCGACCATCAGGGCTTCGAAACCCCCATTACCATCACAAATAGCTTCAACTAACTGAGCCTTGAGGTCTGCATTCCAGTACAGAATCACACTGCCACCAGATCTCCCTCCTTTGCGATCAGCCCGGCAGAGATGATACCCTGGGGACCTGCACCACCGAGTCCAGGATATCTGGGACAACCAGGTCTCAGTGAAAGCCATTATGTCAAGATGATTCGCAGAGGCAAAAAATTGAATTTAATCGAGTTCGTTTCGAATACTGCGCACGTTAGCGGAAATTACGCGCAATCTGTTCTTCTTGTTGGTGTCGTGGACGCCTTGCCAACGCAGCAGCACTGATGCAATATCGTCAAATCCATAGCAAACCCTTGTGCTCTTGAAGAGCGGTTTAGTAAGTTGCGAGCAACGCTTTTGGCCACATGCCGAGTTTGCAGGTGATGCATGTTCAAGTTCAAGTGGGACTGGAACGATAAGGTGAATCCCGTAAGTGTTCCTTCTTGAACGAGTCGTCGGTACAAGAGTTGGAAGAGGTGCTCCGACTTCTTGATGGATCTAAAAGGAAAACACCCGAAAAACACCCATGTCCACCAATTTAATGCCCACGTGCCTTACATTACCCGTCCCTGCTGTACGTTACGTGAAGTAAGAGAGTAAGGGAAATCAATTAAAAGAAGAGAATAATACCAAGGGCTAGAAAAAGTAAAGTAAATTGAAGCGAATTAGTCAGGAAAAAGGAAAGGTTTCGTGTTGTCACCCAAGAGCGTCTAGTTGACGTTTAAACCCCTTAACCGTAGCTTCCTTGACAACATTTTCTGGAAGCAGGTTCCAGCGCTCGATGACTCGACGCGACAACCGTGTCTCCACTCTAACTCGATCGGATGGCGATTTGTCCAGCTTCATACAATACCTGTGGAGACCAAATAATCTAGCAGGACCAAACAGCCAGGACAAATCAGGGTCAACCATCCCAGTCAAAATACGGTAGGTTAGGATTAGGTCCCCTCTAATCCTTCGATACTGCATTGACTGCATCCCCAAAACTAAGTAGGCGTTCGGGGTGCGTTTGTACCGACACGCAAAACCCTTTCTAGTGCCATTTTGTACCGGACAAGGCATGGTGGACAGACCTGGACGCAATATTCTAGATGGGGTCGCACAAACGCTGAGAAAAGCTTCACAAACACATCAGCGGTTAGGGTCCCGAAAGAACGACGGATAAACCACAACATCCGGAACTTTTTACTAGCCGCCTTCTTCCAGTTGTATTCAGAGTGTAGTGTGGAACAGTGGACGACACCTAGATCAACCTGACGAGTTACGTGAGGAAGTTCACTCCCAATGAGCACATAACATATGGAGGAAGCAGACGCTTCGATACGCAGCACTAAATACTTTGCCCGGTTTATGGACAGCAACCACAAGACAGACCATTCCCAGAGTCTATCCAGAGCCAGTTGAAGAGCCACAGGACCTCCACGGATATCAACAACATTCCAGAGTTTCAGGTCATCAGCAAATAAGAGCGATGGTACCTCAAGCTCCTCCGGCAAGTCATTCATGTAGACAGAAAAATGCATCGGACCTAGGACAGAGCCTTGCGAAACGCCGCTAAGTACAGCCTGTCGAAACGAAAGACTGCTTCCCACACGAATACACTGTTCCCGTCCATCCAGAAAAGCTGACACCCACTGGAGAGCACGACCAGCTATTCCATACGACCTCAACTTCAGTGAGAGTCGCGAATGGGGGACAGCGTCAAAGGCCTTGGCGAAGTCAATGAACACCACATCCACCGCATGTCCACTGTCTACGGCTTCAGCCCAGCACTCTCGAGCTACCAGCAAGTTCGTCTGACACGAAAATCCTTTGCGAAAACCATGTTGCTCGACGCTAAGCAGGTTAAACCTACTTAAATGGTTCTCCACTGTATCTCGTACTAATTTTTCAAGCAAATTAACGACCACGCTAGTCAAGCTGACAGGCCTGTAATTAGCCAGTAGGTCTTTGTTACCGCACTTGAAAATCGGGCAGACAACAGCCTCCTTCTATTCGGTAGGCAAGACAGCTGTTGAGTGACTTCTGAAACACACAAGTCAGAGGTCCACTGAGTTCCACTGCCAATTCGTGCAACAATCTTGGATGAACAGAATCTGGCCCGGAAGCCTTAGTTGGGTTCATCTCTTTTAGCAACCGGAGAACTTGGGACTCCGTTACAGGAATTTCATCCAGACAACAGTCCTCAGGG